ATACAAAAGACCAATGAAACAAAAAGTTGGGGGATTTTTTTGAGAAGATAAACAAAATAGACAAACCATTAGCTAGGCTGACAAACAAAAAAATGAAAAGAGAAGACCCAAAGAACAAAAATCAGAAATGAAAAGGGAGACATTACAACCAATGTCACAGAAATACAAAGAATCATTAGGGACTATTATAAACAACTGTATGACAACAAATATGAAAATCTGGAAGATATGAATAAATTTCTAGACACATACAAACTACCCAGACTGAACCAAGAAGAGACAGAAAACCTGAACAGACCAATAACAAGCAAGGAGATTGAAGTGGTAATCAGCAATCTTCCATCAAAGAAAATTCCAAGTCTAGATTGTTTTACAGCTGAATTCTATTAAACTTTTAATGAGGGGTTAATACCAATTCTCCTTAAACTATTCCAAACATTGAAACAGATGCTACTCTCTCAAACTCACTTTTTTTTTTTTTCCTTTTTGTCTTTTTTTGTGTCTGGCAATGGATCGCAACCCTCAGTGTCGCGCCCGTACCGGACCGGGACCGGCAACGGGATCGCAACCCTCAGTGTTGCTCCTGCACCTCACTCAGCCAGTGAGCGGGAACCGGTCTGTATGTGGGATCCGAACCCTCGGCGGGAGCGCTGCCGCGCTCCCAAGCGGTGCACTGTAGCAGTGCGCCACCGGGCTGGCCCCAAACTCACTTTTTGATATCAACATAACTCTGCTACAAAACCAGATAAAGACACACACACAAAAAAGAAAATTATAGGCCAATATCCTTGATAAACCTCAATGCTAAAATTCTCAACAAAATATTAGCAATCAGAATACAGCAACATATTAAAAAAATTATACACCATGATAAGTGGGATTCATTCCAGAGATGCAAGAATGGTTCAACATATGAAAGTCAATAAATGTGATACATCACATCAACAAACTCAAGAACAAAGACCATATAATTATCCAATAGGTGCTGAAAAAGCATTTGACAAAATTCAACATCCCTTCATAATAAAGACTCTCAACAAATTAGGTATAGAAGGAAAATATCTCAACACAATAAAAGCCATTTTTGACAAGCCCGCCTCCAGTACTATTCTGAATGGGGAAAAACTGAGGGCCTTTCCCTTAAGAACAGGAACAAGACAAGGATGCCCACTCTCACCACTTCTATTTAACATAGTACTGGAGGTACCAGCCAGAGAAATCAGGCAAGAGAAAGAAATAAAGAGAATCCAGATTGGAAAAGATGAAGTCAAACTTCCCTATTTGCAGATGACATCATACTATGTATAGAAAAGCCTAAAGACTCTATCAGAAAACTTCTAGAGCCGGTTAATAACTTCAGTAACATTGCAGGATACAAAATAAATGTCCCTAAATCAGTTGCATTTATATACTCAAATAATGAACTAACAGAAAGAGAAATAAAGAAAGTAAGCCCTTTTACAATTGTCATGAAAAAAAATAAAATACATAGGGATCAATTTATCCAAGATGAAAGACCTCTACAATGAGAACTACAAACCACTTCTGAAAGAAATTAGACAGAAAAAGATAGAAAGATATTCCATGCTCTTGAATTGGAAGAATTAACATTGTGAAAATGTCTATACTACCCAAAGTGATCTACAGATTCAATGCAATTCCCGTCTAAATACCAATGACATTCTTCACAGAAATGGAAAAAAGAATATTGCCCTTCATATGGAACAACAAAAGACCCTGAATAGCCAAAGCAATCCTGAGCAAAAAAAAAAAAATAAAATAAAAATAAAGCCGGAGTCATAACACTACCTGACTTCAAATTCTACTAGAAAGCTATTTTAACCAAAACAGTGTGGTACTGGTATAAAAATAGACATTCAGAGCAGTGGAGTAGAATTGAGAACTGAGAAATCACCCCTCAGGCTTACATCCATCTGATATTGGACAAAGGCAACAAAAATCTACATTGGAGAAAATACTGCCTCTTCAACAAGTGGTGCTGGGAAAACTGGATATTCACATGCAGAAGAATGAAACTAGATATGCATCTCTCACCATACACTAAAATCAACTCAAAATGGATTAAAGACTTAAGTATAAGACCTGAAACTGTCACTTTATGAAGGGAAAATATAGATGAAACACTTCAGCAACTAGGTTTGGGCACAGACTTTATGAACATGAGACTGAAAGCACAAGCAGTAAAAGAAAAAAAATCAACAAATGGGACCATATCAAACTAAATAGCTTCTGCACAGCAAAGGAAACAATCAACAGAGTGAAACGACAACCTATAGAGTGGGAGAAAATTTTTTGCTAACTGTGCATCCGACAAGGGATTAATATTCATAATATGCAAGGAACTCAAGCAATTATACAGTAAAAGAGTAAATAACCCAATTAAAAAATGGGCAAAGGAGCTGAATAGACACTTTTCAAAGGAAGACATACAAATGGCCAACAGGTACATGAAAAAATGCTCAAGATCACTAGTCAACAGGGAAATGCAAATTAAAACTGCATTGATATACTACCTCACCCCAGTTAGACTGGCTATAATAAAAATAACAAATTCTGATTGGTGAATAACAAATGCTGGTGAGGGTGTGGAGAGAAGGGAACACTACTACACTGTTGGTGGGACTGTAAATTAGTACAACCACTATGGAAAACAGTATGGAAATTTCTTAAACAACTACAGATAAATCTTCCGTACAATCCAGCAATCCCACTTCTGGGTATATAGCCAGAGGAATGGAAATCATCATGTCAAAGGGATAGCTGCACTCCCATGTTCATAGCAGCTCTGTTTACAATAGCCAAGACATGGAACCAACCTAAATGTCTCACTTGCAACAACATGGATGAGCCTGGAGAAACCTATGTTGAGTGAAATAAGCAAAGCACAGAGGAATAAATACTGCATGTACTCATTCATGTGTGGGAGCTCAGAGATAAAGAAGGAAAGAAAGACCACAGTAATCCATTGGACTTGCAGAGGGAAAGAACATTCCTTGGGCTACAAAGTGGAGTGGGGGAGTGGGGGAGGGAGAGGGAGGTTGGGGATAATTGCGTTGGAGACCTGGGGTACAAATGCAATTTGTGGTAATGGGTACGCTGTCAGTATGAATCTGGCCCTCACATCATGGGCATGAAGGGTGACCATCAGCTTTGTATCTCATGAATATTCATAACCAATAAAAAAATTAATGGAGGGAGGTACAGGTGATGTCTCTCTCCCCTATGGCAGCATCTTTTGCATTATTCCTTTGACATGATCTGTCCAATGAGCTTGTCTCCCTACTGGATTGCCTGTTTCTGTTAGGCAGCAACCATTTCCATCCTGTACTCATTCTGATTCCTTAGGGCTGTGCATTGAGCCTGGTTCATAATGGGAAATCAATAAACGTTAGATGCTTACAAGATTCCCAGCTTAAAGTCTAAATTAATATTGAAGTCACACTCTGGACTTTGTAGAATGGCTAAGAAAAGTGTTTCTTCATAGGTTGGAGGTCCAGAGGGTATTTTCACATACCTTTCCAGTTCTTCCAGTGTCACTTCTGATGATTGTTCCTGGGGTTTCTGGTAGCCATTCTGTCTTCTCTCTGTAGGGACCAAAATCTTGGGTCTCTTCATTTTTCATTGTTTAGAAGATACTTAATCATTTAACTTGTTTTTAAGCTTAGAATTAAATAATATGATCATTTTATTGTGTTCAGATATTGATGATGTTATTTATTTTATGCCTTTTTAAAGTCCAAAAGCAGAATGGCAGATAGTAGCTTTAACTGGTCAGTCCTATTCTATTATGACTTCTTACTGTTGTGTCAGTAAACACGATTTTTATTTTTATTTTCACTTATGAGGATTTCAAAGTTTGTAAATTTTTCACTTATCCTAAGGCAATATTGCAAAGCAGAGTCAATCGGTTTGTTTGGATATAACTTTTAGTAGCTTTTCCTTAATATTTCTGTTTCTTTAGCCAAGATGCAGGATGTTTTGAGTGGCAAATAATTTCTTCTTTTAATCTTGGTAGGACTTCTCAGTTCTGTTGGCATAAACATAGGGTTTTAAATTTGAAACCAAGATTGTTTACTGGATGTGGATGGAGATTTACTATAAAATTCTATTATCAAAGACTTCCAGAAAATTGATATATTTTTGGTTATTATTAATAGTCACATGTCTCCTCTTACAATTTTCTTTTTTCATTACTTAATGCTTCATTTTTCTTATTTTTCTCTGGAAAAGCATTCAGCATGTAAAATTGCATTGCACAACCTTGTGGTGCATATTTATAGCATCTCATTTTTTATATGGTGATAAATGATTAATTATAAAGATTCACCCTTATCTTATGCAATATTGAATGTATCCATGATTTAACACATTGAAGTTATTTAGAAGAGATGTTTATTTGAAAAGGGAAATGATTATTACCTCTTTATCCTTATTCTAGCTTTTTCACTAGCTCAGTTCATGCTTATGAGTACTGTCCTTAGTTCAAGACTCAAAGAGACTTCAAAAGGAAGTTTGGATGTTGGGGAGGAAAAAAATTCCTGTTTCCTCTACTCTTCTTGGGTTCATTGAGAAATTCCCTGTAGACTGACAAAAGACAAATTGACAAGAGAAAAATAATGTTAACATGGGAATTATGCCTACACAGTGAGTGATGAGTAACTCAAAGGGGTGGCTATAGCTTGAGGCTTAAAAAAACATCTTAAGAGAAAAATAAATTTGTAGAGAAATGACAAGACAAAGGAAAAATGCTTTAGGCTTTTAGGGGCAGCAAACTGTAGGAAGGTAAATACATGAGAGAAACTAATGGAAGATAAGGGTCATTTTATCAAGTTCTGTTATGTGGATTCTGCTGGTGCCTTGTCTGTACTGATAAGAGCATAGGATTGTCTCCAGTGATGAAGAATCCTCCTGCTCCGCCTAGTAGAGAGAGGCAGGGCAGAAAGTTTTTCTTGTGTCTACTTCTTCTCAATTGCTTTCAGCTCAAAATAACCCTTACGTCAAAGTGGCATATTTTGGGGTATCATATTTTGAACCCCTTCATGAAAATACGGAAAGTGGTTCCCTTGGAGAATTTGTCCATACCGAAGAGTCTCAATAAATGGCATATATTTTAGAATGTGTGTGTGTGTATGTGTGTGTGTGTGTAAAGCACAGCAGGGAATCCCAGAAAGAATTCAAAGAACTCAGTGGAATTGCAGAAGGTAAGAAATTTTGTCAGGTCAGCTGCTGGCTGGCCCGAACAGCCCTAGCCTCATTATCAGTCTTTCCCTAGGTGTCCCTTTTGGTGGGTGAGTGGATGGCCCGGATTCCTCTTTCCCTCCAGTCCCCATTGGAAGGAGACGGGGGAAGAGAGCTGTGAAGACAGGTGAGCACAGCTGCTGGCCCCAACCAGCCCGTTAAAGGACACTCAGACGTGGTGGAGTTTCTGTCGAGCAGTTCCGTTTATTATCACACAAGCACTTGCTTTTAAAGGCAAATGGGGAAGGGAGGTTTTTACATCCTCCAAGCAGCTTAAAGGTTACGAGAGCATGCATCCTGTCTCAATGCCTAGCTATTGCAATCACGCAGTGTTCACGAGCGCAGAAGTGCGTATTTGGCCAATAAGGGCTAAGGCAAGGTTCCCGCAGACACTCCCATCCTATTTCCTCCTGGCACTATCTTAGGCTGCCACGTTAATATGCCCTTGTGGGCCCATAATGGCGCCACTTGTAATGTCACTTAAGGTGGCGTTAGTTTTTAAGGCCTGACAAGATTTCTTCCCTCTCTACACAGTCTCCACATAATTATGATTAACTCTGTGGTACTGAAGCTCAACAAGGGGTTAGAGTAGGAACTTTGGAATTAGGCTGCTGAGGGTCCTGTACCCACTTTCTTGCCATTTATTGTTATCCTGGGCAAGTTACTTCACTCTTTTTACTAGTATGCTTACCATATAGGATGATAGTGAGTAATGTTTGAGTATGCAGTTTTTGCCATATGCAGTCCCTGAAATTAGGTGCAAGATTCAAAAGTTCTAGGAAAAAACTCTTATTTTAATCAACTCTATCTCATTTACATGGATTAATAAAAAAAGACAAGGAGATTTACTGGATGCCATGGAGAGGAGAAGGACTTGTGCTAATTGTTTTTTCCATTCAACATAGTTTCTTACCCTTAATTAAAAGCAGGATGACCTCATAATCTTCTTGTCCTCTAGATAGGAGTGTCTGGTATGTTATTGCTTCTTCTTGGAATCCTGACTTTACTGGGCTTACTCCTCCCTTTCTAGAACTGAACACTAAAACACCAAATGGCTTGGCCTGTGTTCTCTCAGGGTTTCGTCTAAATAGAAAGGGTTTGCCAACAGCTGTAGTCTCAGTTCCTGACCTGGCTCCTACGTGATACCTATTCCCTTGGTCATGTTTATCTGAAAGAGCATCTCCCTCAAAGTTATGTCAGAAGTGAAACCTTTCATTGAATATTTTTTCCTTAAAGAGGGGATTTATCATTGTCTCAACTCTTTAATGTTATTTATGCAGACTAAACTTAATAATATTCTATACTGACACTTGTTTTGGTGGAATTATCTCTTGTTCACTTACCTCAGGTAGTACCAAAACCTAACACTTAAATACATTAAATCTGACTCTCAATTTCTTTTTTTCCAGGAAAAGATGTCACAATATTATTTTGGAAATTCCCTGTACACACTGTGAAAAAGCCTATAATAATGTCTACCATGTAGCAGTTTAATCAATGCTATTCTTACTTTCCTTTTAGGGAGTGTTTTTCATCCACAGTGAATTGTTCTCAATTTCAAGGTCTAAAGTAAATGCCATTTCCTTGGATAAAAAAATCGTGTTACAGTCAAACTATCACTGTCAAAACAATTTGTTGGATCAGCTGAAAATTTTTATTAATTTACCTTTGTAAGTATATATTAAATCACTAAATTTTTGCCTTAATAATAGTTGGGGTGAAGATAGTTAATTTGCGACATGACCTTATTTAAGAAACAGATGGAATCTGTTTATTAGTGGATTGTAAAAAAAAAAAAAAAAACACCTAAATATTAGTCCTGAATTTTGAATAAGATGTTATATTTATTATAAAATGTTTACTTTAAAACTATATAGTCTATGTAAATTTCTTGTTACACATAGAATACTGAGAAAACATGGAAAGCTCATGACTATATTCAAGAGCTTTCACTTGTGATTAATAATAAAACAGTGTTTTAATAAGTAAGATATGCACGTATTAAAGTATAATAATCTTGGATATGTAGATAATCTGTTTCACTGGCAGTAGTGGTAGATTTTGAAGTGATATTAAAGATAAAACTTATATGTAAGGCAAACATCATAAAATGTCACATAAATTATTTTTTATAAACATTTTGATATCACAAGATTACACCAGAATTTCTGTTTCTAGTCCTCATTTCCTTTCTTTTCTTGTATGAACACTTTCTTTCCTATTTTTCATTATTTCTGTGTGAGAAACTTTCAGACTATTCACTTCTAGCAGATAAAACCTAATAAGAAAAATGTTATGAATCAAATGCATGATGACCTCAGACTGAAGCTTGTCACATTACTGTCCTCTGAGGGAGGACAAATTCAAGCTTCTTAACTAGATTTACAGGTTTCTGTTGAAGCACTACAGGGACATTTACACTTCCTTAAATGTACAGTGGTTTTGTGATAACCAGTGGAAAAAGTTATGATCTGTCATAATCTATACTCCTAGTAAACTCCAATTACTCTTGTATTGTGTGTTAAAAGAGCAAATGCTTTAATACTTGATAGTAGTATGAAAGAGTGTAGGGTCACGCATCACTTCTCTAGTCTCTAGATTACAGCATCACCTATCCTCCAGTTTCTTATCTTCTAGTTTCTAGAAACTTTGAATGAACATGTCCAGAAGCCCTGGTATGTGGTGCATACAAAGAAGACACTGTTGGACACTTGCGTGGCTTTTGGTCCACGTGAGGAACGGTGCTAGGTTATTCTGGTGGCTGGAAACAGACTAACTCAGGTTACCTCGAATGGTAAGATTGTGGTTATATTGCACAAGAGAATTAGGACAAGAAATAGGCCAGAGATCATAGACTAGAAAGTGGTTTAAGATCAAGGAAAATCCAGTAAGCTTAGCCCTCATCATAGGAGACCCTCCATCCCCCAACATGGAGGGATATACTCTTCTTCATTTCTGCTTCTACTGAAATTATTTGCTTCAGTCTGTATATTATGACCATCTTTTATCTATCTCAGGTTCAACTTACTTTTAACAAAAACAATCATATTTTTACTTGTGGCCCACTCTGATACTGACTTCATGACCCCCACTTTGTGTACAAATTTTTAGCTCCTGCTTCTACTACCAGCTCCTACACTCTTCTATAGTTCATGTTCAGAAAAGAGAGAATCTGAATAAGTTATCCAGTTACTGTGATACATATTCCGTTAGAGCATTAGTGCTGCCCGATCTATAGACTTGCTTTCTTTTGGTCAGTTGCTATTCCTTGGTCTAGTTCTTAGGTAGCAGCATTTTGTAATATAGCATATGGCCTCCTAAAGGTAATGAACACCTGAGTTACTCACTCAACCTGCCTTAAATTTTTATGTACATGGAAAGTTTCCTTAGACGAGGACTGGGAAAGTGGAAGACATTATGGTTATACTGTCCAATATGGGAGGAAATTCATAATGCTTATAAGATTAACATTGTGTTTGCTATGTAAGTCAGGTGACCAAAAATAAAAGTTTTGACCAATGAAGCTGAATTAATGGCTTCAGGTACCTACCTCTTCATTACAGACAACAAAATAAGGAGGTCAAAAGTTCAGAATAATGTTTTAGAAATGAACAGAATCATAATAGTTAAATCATGGTAAGCTACCTGCTCTATGATGACTGAGGTATTGATTGAAGTTCCACAGCCAGATATTGGAATATAGGTCTACTGATTCTAAGCCCAGTGATCTTTTCACTCTATCTCACTGCCTACTTATACAAACTAATGAAAAAAATATATTTGCAACCTAATGGTTTCCAAAGGAAACCTGCCTGGCTTTATACCTTGAAGTCTTTCATACTATGTATTTGTTTCTGGATGACTCTATTTATGGTAAGGCCAAAAGGAAAAAGAAACTCTTGAGAATTTCAGCAGTCTATAATTTGATAGGTAACACTAACAAATTACTATATTATATGATTAAACTTATCCTTGAAAATGCAAGTTAAATTAGAAATAAATATTTTAGCTTTGGTTCAAGATTACTGATCATTTGTTCCTATTTTACAGTTCTCTTTCATAAGAAACTATAAAAATGATAAAAAAGTATTTTAGAAAGCATACAAACCCACAAAAAATGTATATGGGAGCAGTCAGCAGATAATAGATTTAAATACACCCTGAAAGATGAAAAATAAATCAAAGAGTGCTTGTGAATGAGACAGAACTGAGTAAGCCACAGCCTGGAATATGTTCCAGGGGTATGTTGATTAAAAGGGAGCTTACCCTCTTGGTATCAGAGAAGCTCTGAATTTTGGAATGGTGGCAATTTGGAGGTAAAAAAAAAAAAAAAACAAAAAAACAGGGTCTATGCAAAGAAAAACCATCATCCCAACTCTCCCTTTGCTTTAGTCCATTTTGTGTTGCTATTACAGAAATACCTGAGACTGGGTAATTTATAAAGGAAAGAGGTTTATTTGCTTACGATTCTGGGACAGCTGCATCTGGCACAGGCCTCAGGCTGCTTCTACTCATGGTGGAAAGTGGCAGGAAGCCAGTGGGTACAAGCAGATCACATGGTGAGAGGAAGCAAGAGAGAGAAGCAAGAGAGGGAGAGAAGGTGCCAGGGTCTTTTTAAGCAACGAGCTCTGGCAGGAACTAATGGGGTGAAAACTCACTCATTAATCCCCCTGTCCCCAGGGAGAGCATTAATCTATTCATGAGGGATCCACCCCCATGACTCAATCAGTTTCCAACACTGTCACATTGGGGATCAAATTTCCACGAGTTTTGGAGAGGACAACACATCCAAACTCCATCACCCTTCTTTAAAGAATTAGAATACAGTCTTCAGAGAGAATTAATACAACTAAAATGTAT